TACCTCTCCCCCCCCCCCCCCGAACCCTTCCCCCTCCACCACCCGTTGATGTCCACAACCGACTAGAAATTGCGACTTTTATGCTCATCAGCTGGCTTAAATGCGAATCTGTAAAATGTCAAACATCATGCTCATGCATAGTTTTCTTTTAATGGCATTTGGATTTTAATATTTCCGACTCGCTGTCACTCCTTCTCTTTCTCCTTCGTTTCTCCGCTTGACACCCCGCTAATACATTTTTACCACGAAAATACAGGTTTTCCCTCATTTGTTTACTCCTTTTTTAATGTTTGCAGAATGTCAACGCTGAGAGGTTACTGCTTGTTAGTTACTCTCTGGGACTTCATCATCTTCTCATTCTGGCATCTGTCTTTCCGCTTCATAATTGCTTTTGTTTTGGTACTCTGACACCTCAGGGCTTTTAATGGCTACCACTAAATTAATCCGCTCTTCGTCATCCTCTTGAAGGCGGCTTCATTTTCGCGCACGAACCACGACTTTTGAACCTGACGCCGATCGAAGTCGGTATCGCAGGTCTTGGCCTCTTTAAGTGTTTCCGGGGATCGAATGAAGCACATTACAGCGTCCGCAATTTTAAGATATGCAAAAAGCTGGAAGACTCAGTCACGGGAACGGCAGTTGTATCAGTTTGAGACTTTGGACTCAGCGACCGCAACAAATAAACAGTTTTTGTGGCCTGGCAATACCGGGGGGAGGATTTAGCGCGTCCGTGGCTGAGCTGAATCCACGCTAACAATGGTCTTACAGTGCGGTGACTGGTCTGCGTGATATTTCGCGTACTCGAGAAGTTAAATGCCCCATCCTCCTCCCAAGTTCTGGATCGCTTGCCCAAATGGGCCGTTTGAGCTCGCATTTTCCTGAGCTGCGTTGTCGCACCGTCTGACCTATATAATGGTAAGGACAGTCAATGCATGGAATCTGACAAACTGCACCCAGTCGCTCATCTGTGTCCAGTTAGTTCTTCACCTACATGACTGACACATAATAGCCGGAGGGCGGGCGATACCCACGCCGTACCGTGTGCAAATGTGTTCTGTCGCCGCTTTCACATTCTTTCTGTACGACCGAAGGTTCCGCAGGGTTGTTGGAGGCCACGGCTGATGAGGCTGTCTGGGTAGCTGTTTCTTACTAATTGGTCCCGCAAGGCGTACTTTGGAAGGCGGACTATGAGAGATTGGGCATTCGCGCCTCCAGAAGTCGTCTGCTGGCAGGTGGATTTGTACGAATGCTCCATCTTGTGAACCATCCATCCTGGCCACGACTGCCAACCACGTAAACTAACCAGTACTAACCTCCTCCTTCCCCCTTGTTAGGCCGTCCTATGGCAATCCTAGAGAACACTTGAGAACCCTAGTTGCGGTCAGATGGCGACAAACTAGCAAGTGTGTTCTGTCCAGTCTTTCAAAGTCAATTAACGTTTCCGATTATCTCTCGAGTTGTGGACATCCAAGTGTGTATGCACTGATGTCCCTAGCAGTGTTTTGGGAGCACGATTGATCTCTTCATAGGGCATGAATTTGGTTAAGGGAAAACGTAGCAGGAAGTTTGGAAACTTCCGGAAAACACAGGTTGGCTATGTTTCCCCAAGAGCCAGGCTACTGCGCCCCTTCTTGTGCAAACTTTGACGAGCGGGTTGCTTTCTGCCGTAGTGTCTTTGGTGCGTTCATTCTGGGATGATATGACTGTATTCATGTGGAGGCCGATTATACATCGAACTTTGCATACTACTTAGTTGACGGTTGACGTAGGCAGTTGGGATGGCGCTCCGCTGTGTATGAATCGACTTGTAATTGTGATATCCGGCAATTGCTTTTGGAGGATCGCTCAAGTACTCCTTTCATTATAAAGTACAGTAGATGCGCCAACTGCCTTTACCAATGTGGCTTGTAAAGTTAACAATATGGCTCTAATCCCCTGCTAAATTTTATGAACCCCGTATAGTCCCCTCTTTATACCGTAGAGGAATGTATGGTTTTCCGCACACGGAAAATTTAGGGCTTGTAGTTTGGAGACCTCAAATGCAAGTGTGACGGCAAGTCTAGTTCAAAATTATTTAAGGATCGAAAAAATTTTTTACAACCAAGTTATGCCCTTCCTTCGGATATAAAATTGGAAGAAGACGCACTCTTTTACCGAATGCGCAAATGGATGAATATATTTATGCATGTGAAGGCGAAATTTCGAGTTCCAGGTGTATGCATAAGTGAAGAAGAAGAGTCGAGCACCGGAACACTTCGTTTATTATCCTGAGCTTTCAGACTCGTACGGGAGTCCATCGTCAGAGGTAATGGCAGAAACAGGACAAGCGGCAGTTATAAGGCACGTAGGCCTAATCATCGACCGACGTCGCACGACTGGAGGTGACTGCGAAGGGCTCTGTACGCCGGCACCAGATCGATAAATCGATTGACCGAGTTCTCATCTGAGGCCCAGGCTTCAATCAATTCTCGGCCTGTTTTGTTTCCGGCGTGGGCAACTATTTTGGTGGCTGCGAAGTTAAACTCGTGACCCATTTCGTAGGTGTGGGCGGCCACTTGTGATAATGCGTCGCCTCGCCGCACGGCCAGCTTATGTTCGTGTATGCGCGATCCGAGCATGCGTCCAGTCTGTCCTGTGTAGTTACAAGGAAAAATTTGACACGGAATGCGATACACTACTCTAGATTGCTCTTCAGGCTTTAACCGGTCTTTGATTTTCATGACCCTGCTGCGCATGGTGGCTTTGCGGCGGTGTGCAATTCCAGCACCTAACTCCGCAGCAATGCGCTCGGTCGCTTCTGAAACGCCCTGGATGTATGGCAGAGAATGCCATATCGTCGGTGGCGTTGATGTTCGAGTTCTCTGGTGGCGACCGCGTAGGCAGCGACTTATGAATGCCCTCGGATAGCCATTTTGCACAAACTGGTCGAGGAGATAAGGGGCATCACGTGCTCTGTCCTCCGGTTTTCTGCAATGACTTTGGATCCGTTTGAAGAGCGTTTTCACACAGCTTCGTTTGTGAGCCACTGGATGGTGGCTGTGAAAACTGAGAAGCTGTGTGGTGTTCGTTGCCTTCCTATAAACTTCGCAGCCACCAAAATAGTCGCCCACGCCGGAAACAAAACAGGCCGAGAATGGATTGAAGCCTGGGCCTCAGATGAGAACTCGGTCAATCGATTTATCGATCTGGTGTCGGCGTACAGAGCCCTTCGTAGTCACCTTCAGTCGTGCGACGTCGGTCGATGATTGGGCCTCCGTGCCTCATAACTGCCGCCTGTCCTTTTTCTGCCACTACCTCTGAAGATGTACGAGTCTGAAAGCTCAGGATAATAAACGAAGTGTTCCGGTGCTCTACTCATCTTCTTCATTTATGCGTGTTTTTCTTGAAATATAATCGAATTTTTGAAAGTATCGAAAATCAATGAGAAGAATGGATGCTAAATAAGTAGTCATTTTTACGGAGTATAGTGTTTGTAGGCAGCCGGAAAGAAGTTCCTTCGAAGCCGGCATCCTGGGGTAACTGAATTATTATAGAATTATGCTGCGCGATGATTAGTTTTACAACCCTACTTAATCAATCTCGTCGAAACGAAAACGCATTTAAGAATTTACGTCGACATTTCATGAGTTAGCCCACCTACTGCACTGCTGTGATTGGAATTAGGGTTCACTTTTCGGCTTATATTATATTCCGGGTTCGACGATTAGGATTCGGGTTACGACCAAGGTTTAGGTTAGTCTTGGAGTTTGGGTTATGGATAAATGTGTCTTAGGTCTGATCCTAATCGCAATGATAATGCTGACATCAATCCTACCTCTAATCACTTAATATTAGCTCCGTCAGCCCAACCAAAATTAAACCTATACGCCCTGCCTGCACTTACGAATCCTGTCTACTGAAACAAAAACAGTAGCGAAAGTGTCATTCCGGCAATTCTCGGGACTCTCGAGGGTAACTTAACGAAAACTTTACAGCGCGTTCTGTAAGGGCACTGGAACCTTCCAGTGAAAAATTCGAATGAACACACTACCCGTCATCGTGCCATCTGAATACGGGCTGTCTTTGCGAACCGTTTCCGATTGCCTTGCGAATATGGGTTTTTCTCACTGACTTTCGATCATCTTCTGAATTCAAATGAATCATTTTGTGGCAAATTACTTCTTCCTCGATGGAAACGTACTGTATTTATTTCCAAACCATTACTGGGTCTTAGGACCATGTATCACAGCGAATTGTCCCGAGTGAACACTGTGGTTTTAGGATGTCGATATGCTTCCTGTTTTTGGTACTTCCACCTGGCAAAATGAGTCGTATTCTTACTGTTCCAGGCTACAATATTAGCTACCATTACTTGACTGGGGTGGTCTGACTTTCAGTTTTGATGGACTTCCCTTGGTCACATCACACCTGGTCGGCGATATCCTACGTGCATTGCTTTACATCGTCCAGCTGCGCTGTGTGATGTCCCAGCAGGTTAAGCCGATCATCACGTAGTGTTTTACAGGACATTATGCGCTCACCTCTGCAAGGTTCGACCGCACGACCATCGTCGTTATAGACGGCCATGCGTACTCGACTTTCGGCTTTTTCTTAAGGGCTAAGCCTGTCTGGATCTGTAAGTACGGTAACATGGTGCTTTCCGAGGGGCTGGGCTACGTCACTGTGTGTCGAAATTTCTACCATGACTTCGTGGCTCAATGGTGGAGCCTCAAACTCCATGACCAAAGATCTCGGGTTCGAATCTCAAGTGCTCCACACTTGGGGTTGGGTATGACTGGCTGATGATGGCTAATAAGCCAGAAATGGCCATTCCGGTCTCCCTTGTCCTCGTCGGCACCATCTCATTTATATATATATATATATCCAAACCGCTTATTTTTCCCACTTTCACGCGTGCTGTTTAGGTGGTTCGGCCTTCAAACGATTTTTATATCCGAAGACGGTTTTTCGTTTGTTATTTAAATCGGTCTCCGATGTTCTTCCTATCTTTTCCCCATCACATGCAGATGCTTCTCCTGCGATCACTAGACCGCATACCAAATTTGTCTTCAGTTCTCACTTCCTCCGCTTCCGCTGTCATTTTGAGCCAACGATGTGGCATCTCCTCGACGAAGGAAAGCTCCGATGTACAGAATAAAACCACCCACACCTTCCGTTTCGTCCCACCGAAGCCACTGTGGAGATGGCATGATGTGGGTTGCCGGGTTTTCCTTGAATTTTGTTTAATAGCATTTCTCCGGTTTATTGTTTTGCCTCTTACCTCTTATGCATTATCAGCCTCTTCCAGTTTTCACGATCCGCCATTTTGAATTTGATCTAAGGTCATAGTGGGTTATGCAACGGTAAGTCAGATGATAGGGCAGTATCGAATAAAACACGACCTCTTTAAGCACGTATAGTAGGCATTTGTACGCCGTAGATACTTGAGGGCCTTCACTGGATCTTTACCTCAAGTTTCTTCCAGCTGTCACTATCCGTCATTCTGCCATTCTGAATCTCCGCCCCCCTTCCTCTCCCCACCCCACCCCCCTAGGATCGTACGCCATGCAACGATCCCAGCATCTTCGCCATCCCCCCCGACGAAATACCCCCGCGGCGGGAACTCGATGAGCAGACAATAAAACTTCTTGAGCGTCTATCCTTGGTCAATTTCGATTCCGAGGTATTGTTCTTTTTCGCGCGCCTACCTTATCTGTACTCGCTGTCGAATGTGTAATCTGCTTCTGGTTTGTCGTTTTTTTAGGTTTCCAAGGGCGTAATCGAAGAAGCTATTCACTTCGCAGACTGCCTTCTCACACCCACAGCATTCAAGGGCACCGCTGGTCATGCGTCGGAAGTTGTTCGTGAAAATGTCCCTCCCCTGCACTCCCTCCTAGAGGTCTGTGAGTCTTTCGAACAGGCACTGCGCGAAGATGTGCCCGCCCTCGAGGACGGTGTGTCAGCGAAAATAGTTTCCAATGCAGCTGTATCCTTTGAAAATTACTTTGTAGCACCCCCGGGCAATCAGCCCATTCACCCGCAGGAGGCCTTTGATCCGACAATAAAGGAGAACGTTTGAAAATGACGGTTGCCTATTTTTGCTCTTGCTGTCCTCCTTAATTATACTGGGATCTTGGACGACTACCCGCCAGAAAGACCTGTCACAGCAACTGGGCGGACCCTATCTACTAAGGCCTTCAAGCCCGATCCCAGGAAAGATAGCGCTTTATTCTGTACAGAATGAATGGAGGATAGATTGGGGGAAAGTGGCAGCTGGACGAAGTCGAGAGAGCAAGCGTCACATCGCCTTGAGCGAGGCCTATCTGAGTCGACCTTGAAGTTGATTGGCCGGTTTGGGTAGCTGTGATTGGTCAAAAAACCACTGGTAAGTGGAAGAGGCGCAGTTCAGAAGACGAAGTTGCGATCACTGGAACAAGGAATTTCTTGGTCTGACGTTTCGGATTCTCACTCGAACCCATTATCAGAGACATTCGCAGGTAAAGTTGCTGGTGGCACAAGGAGTGAAGTATTTATAGCACGTGGCTGACGTGGGACCGTATGCGCACTGTAATTAACAGCTCTCGCAATCACCGCTGGGGTCGTAGTTGATGCGGTAGTGGCCTGCCAGTCCGAGTCCTTAATTGCCGTGATTTCGTCATCCGTACTGGACGCTGGTGTGACGATTGCTCGGCAAATTAGCTCACTGTCACCGGGGTAATTTTCGCCCGCGCCCTCCCCACGTGCCTAATTCCCCTGCCCAGGGAGAATCTCAGCACTGAATATGGTACCGGGAGGTCATTGTGCTTGTTGATAGATTGCGGGCATGAGAACCATGACTCGAGCAGTTCGCGGCTCACGCGGTTGTCACCCCGTGCGAGGATGTCGGCCTCTTGAAATTTGAAAATATGTCCGGATCCCGTCGAGTGTGTCGCCACCTGAGAGCTAGCGTCTCCCCGCCTCACTGCTGCTGTGTGCTCGGCAATTCGCGTTCGGAGTAATCTCCCAGTTTCTCCGACATAGTTGCTTTGTCCGCAACTACACTAGATCCGGTAAACGACTCCAGACGTGGCAGCGGGTCTTTTGGCCTCCTGACTTGGCGCCAAATGGTTGCTTCCGGCCTGTGTGCAACCCCAACTCCAAGTGGAGTGAGAAGACGACTGACGGCTTCCGAGACGTTTTTCACGTATGGAAGAGCCCGCCAAAATTTGGGGCCGGTTGGATTTGGTCTCTGGTGTCGTTTTCGTATGCCCTGGTGGACAAAGTTGCGCGGGTAACCATTGGCTCTCATTACCCGTCGAAGATATTGTAATTCAACAACCCTGTCTTCCATTTCACTGCAGTGCGTCTCAACGCGCCGGTGTAGCGTCCTTACGCAACTGCGTTTAAAGTTCAGTATTTGCGTCGTATTTGTCGCTTTCCTGAACACTTTGGTTTTTAGGCCACCACAATCTTTGCGGCAGACGAGGACATCCAGGAAGGCCAGCTGGTTGTTTTCATTCTCCTTCTCCTCCTCCTCCTCCTCCATCTTAAATTGATTGTCCGGGAAGACAGCGCTGAGATGTTCTTTGAATGTCAGCACCTGATCCCGTTCGATGACGACGAAGGTGTCATCCACATACCGAGCCCTGAATTTCGGTCTATGGTGTCGGAAAACCAGCGACTTCAGCAGTGTTGCAGCAAGCGTCGAGGGTACGGTCACTACTGATAAACTCACCTAGAGTGCGTTCCCGGCAATCTTTAGCTAAGCACCAAAAGTAGTCTGTCGATAAACATACACAAAGCCTACGTCTAGCAGAAATGACGATTTGAAATGAAGTGAAAAGGAAGTAGTTTGCTGGGACATCGACAGCTTACAGTCGGCGACTGATTTCATGAAATGCTAGCCGGAATCCTGAAATGTGTTTTCGACTAGAAAGGGTTACTTAAGTGGGGTTGCAATATTAATTTCCATGCAGCATAATGCCATGATATTTCGGACTGGCCAGGAGACCGACTTCCGAATGCACTTCTCGACCTCAAATAGAACCCACGCTAGATAAAAATGACTACTCAAACGGCATGAACTTTTCACATTAGTTCTCGATGCCCTTGGAAATTCGAATATATCCTTGGCGCCCCACTCCATACCACCTGGTCCACAGAGCAAATGATCGGGTTTTTGACCAACATTTTGAAGAAACGTAGTTTAATTTTTATAAAATATATTCAAATTCGTAAGGTCATCGTAAGCCAATGTGAAAACTTCACACTATTTAAGTTGTCAATTTTTGCCGATTGC